CACTGCTCACTCATTCTCTCTCTCTGCCTGTGGTGGATACGCTCAGGCTGCGACGATTGTGTGGTATATGTGTGTGTATTGCTGGTTATGTCTGCAGAGACCTCAAAGCGCACAGCGGCAAGTGGTGTTTGGTTTCTCTCCTTCCGTGTCTGTGTGTGTGGAAGAGAGAGAAAAGTGAGGTGAAAAAAAAAACGACGAGCACCGCCCGCACCCACAGTTGGGCTCACGCAAAGAACAGCGGCAGCCCACAACGAAGGCCGCACCGACAAACGCTTAGGCCGCACGATCTCACACTCGCCGCCCCCCACAAGAGACGGCAGCCGCAAACAAGGCGGCGGTAGCAGCGACTGTTGTGCGCGGCCCGAAGAAACACCCACACGCACCCGCACGGAGAGTCCGTAGTGTGGGACGCCCCCGCAGACACCAAAAAATAAAATAAAAAAAATTCATAACCACCTCGCTTACCGTCTACCCCGCCCAGCCCCTTCAAACCCCGCCAGCAGCAACACACAGTGCGCATGCCGGCGGGACCTCCCATCACGACCCCCCACCACCTCCACAAACTCCCCAACGCCCCCACTTCCATCAGCGCACTGCAGCAGGAGTGGGGCGCAGCGTAACAAGAAAATTGAAATAAACAATAAAAACAATACAAAATAACAATAATAAATGGCGGCGGGCGTTCGTCTCCATCCTCTCCAAGCGATACCCGGCATCAAATGAAAGAAAAAAAAACACCACATTACGCACGCTGCATATGCCTTCATTCTGCAACCAAAAAAACAAAGTTCCGTAGTTATGTCACCGCCACTACCAACAACCCAAACGCAATCGCCCGCTGCCCAGCCGCATCGCGGTGCTCGTGGAGGTGAAGCACCTCAAAGAGGCTGAAGGGAAGCAAAAAAACGTCTCACTGCACACGGCATTTACGTCTTCATACAACACCGCCACATGGTACTGACGCGCCGTGCTCTTCCAAAAGGTCCTGTTCCTTTTATCCTCCGTACTGGCCTAGCTGCCGGAGGCCCAACCATCGTCCTCCACGGTGCCTCAACAAAGAAAAAGACTTCCACAAGCGGAAAGCCTTCAGCACCCGGCGCATTGCAACAGTCCTCCCAGGATGAAGCACCTTCGGCGGCAGCGCAACCGCGTCGGTAGGGCACAACGGTGGGTTCATTTGCAGCAGGCATGGCCGTGGCCCGTACCCTCCTGCTGGGGTTAGAGGCCGCAGCTCGCTCAGCTTATCGCGTATCCTTCGCACAAAGTCCCCGTACATGAACGCGTCTATTGCGTACCCCTCCACGGCGGAGGGCAGCAGCGCAGAGTGCGGCATCAGCACCGTCATGATGCCGGGACGCAGCCGCATCACCTTCGCCACGCACACCAACACGTCGGCACTGAGCGAAGCGGAACCCGGGGCGTTCTGAAAGCACTCCGTTGCCCGCCCCGAAACCACCCGTACCATCTTCGAGTAGTCTCCAGTCGGAACGCTGCAAGACCACACAAATCCACCTTGTCCAGCCCAACGTAAAAATTCACAGCCCACGTCGTGAGTCGGTCGATGTGCGTATGAAGCTCACCCACAACTCCATTTTCCCGTAGCGACTGAAAGCGTAACGCCGGACTGGTCTCAAGCGACTCATGCGTCTCTCGGCCTCGCCTAACTGCTCCGCCTGCCCCTCCGCAGGCTCTCCCCGTGCATCCTCCAGGCACACATTGCCATCACATCTCTCTCATCACGGCCGTTCATGATGATCCGGCGGGCGCCCATGTCCTCCTCCCAGTCCCTGTAGCCAGTTTCGTTTGGAGACGACACGGCGAGCATGCCCCACCCAGTGGGAGGCA